TGGTGCGCCATTAGTAACAAATTTTTTTTTTTTTTTTTTTTTTTTTCCAAAACTACTAATGGCGCACGACGGATGTGGTGCGCCATTACTATGTCAATTAGTAATGGCGCACTATGCAACGGTGCGCCATTAGTAACAAAAAAAATTTATGTTTTTTTTCAAAACTACTAATGGCGCATCACACACCAGATGCGCCATTAATAATATATTACTAATGGCGCACCGTGACATGGTGCGCCATTAGAATATAGTAATGGCGCACCACATCACAGGTGCGTCATTACTGGCCATTCCATCTATAGCCCTTTTTGTAGTAATGACTAATTCATATGGTACTTGACGTGTACTCCCTCCCTTCTAAAATAGATGACTCAACTTTGTACTAACTTTAGTATAGAGTTGAGTCATCTATTTTGAAACGGAACGAGTAGTATATACACTGGTTTCAGAAGTATAATAGAAAGGATGTGGTGCGATTTGGCTAGCTTGACCTCTGATTGTCTCAGGACTTGAGGCGCGGCTTAGGACATTCGCGATTAGTAGCTGCCTTCGATTGGAGATTTCTACCAATACTTCCGATGCAAACATCGAGACGAATTCGGCCCGGACAGGGCACGATTTCCAAAGCAAATCACGAATGGTAGCCGAGTTCATCCGTTGATAATATGAAATCCATAATCTACTTTAGCTCGCTTTTGGAGGGAACTTGGTGGAATTTTTCTTTGCTGTTTATAACAGTAAATTGCCTAATGTGCCCTTGATGTCCAAATATACTACCAGATTTTTTCCGTGTATTGTCAAATTCGGGCAGCTGGATCACAAAAAAAAGGCCCAGAATAATTTAATGTACTGTAAAGGACTCAAAATATGTACGCCCTCCGTACAGAAAAACAACATTTTGGACTTATCTTAAATGAAAGTTGAAAATTTCGACCACCAATTCTCTTTTATATCCCTCTCAACTAAAATCTATGTTATATTATTTTTTTTAAACTAGAAAATCATATGCTTAAATTTGTATTGGGAAGTTTAATTTATTTTGTTGTTGTTGTACCTCT